ATCTGTATAGCGTTCTTTTTTTTACATTAATTTAAAAAAAAATTTGAGAAAGAATAATGAGATTTTCCAGCCACTAGTTCACTTCTACTCCATAGTCCACAGCAGCCAGGGTATGCATTAGGCACAGAGCAAGACTGCAGGGTGATACCTACGGTTACAAGAATGCCCATGTTCCATGAATTTGCCAATTGCATATCTGACTCCAATAAATGGTTACCTCATCCAGTCCTGGATGTGACCAAACTCTAGAGCCAGAAACACCTGGGTCAGGGGGACCAGCTAGAATGTGACACAGGGCCTCCTGAAGAGTTCACAGGCTGCTGGGAGAAGGGGACTTCCTCACGGAATCACCGTCCTGAGGGAGGAGGCCACCCAAGATGCCGTGGGGATTTGGGCAGGAAGATAGTACATCCAGTTGGAGGGATCCCCGAGGGCTTCCTGGAGGAGGGGAGGAGGGTATTGTCTGAATGTGTGGCCTGGGCTAAGGCCCAAGCAGGTGTGGGTCAGAGAGAGCCTATGCTGTGTGTGGAATAAGGAGTAGCTCAGTGTGCTGGGACATGAGAGCCTTGAAGAGGGAGGTGGGCAAGTGTGCTGAGGTTAGTCTGAGGCTGGCTCAGGGAGCACCTTGATGACCAGGTGGAGTTCATTTTGAGAACTCGACAAATTCAGAAGCTGGCAGGACCATCTCTCATGTAGTTGGGAAGAGCCCCTCCCCGTGGTCTCATGTGTTCTCCAAGGTACCTCCACCCCTGCCCTGGCATTCCAGACCATGGGTAAGGGTTTTAGTCCAAGCCCAAGATTATGACACCATGGAGGGGAACTCCCAGCAGAAAGTACAGCTTGCCAGCTGCCCAGCCCTCTATAGGCTGAGTCTCAGTCTGGTGGCTCAGTAACTGCTGACAGTCCCAGGGTGGGCAGAGCAGCCCCTGAGACACTTGTTGGGCCTCAGATGGTGCTGCTAACCCAGTGATTGTCAGTTTGCTTATGATGAATATCCACCCCGTCCCCACCCCACCCAAGCCACCACAGCCATTGCTTTCTTTGGGAGCTGGACAGATAGGACACATGAGCTGTGGTAGTATGTTGAGACTCCTGCCCACCATGAGCTGAGGACAGTGCTGTGGGGACAGTGTGTGTGGCAGGAGATGGCAGAACCTGCTGGAAGTCAGACCCTTGTGGACTGGTGAATCAGCCCAACTTCCCATTTGCCAGGCCAGGTTGGTGTCTTGTTTTTGTCTCTTTAGCCTTCTCCAACTGCCCAATCCTGCATGCAAACTGCAGCCAGCCAGCACTGTGGGCCTGGAGGACGTAAGGCCAGAAAGGAGCCAGCCACTGAAGGACACATTCCTTAGGACACAGGTCCCGTTTACCAGCAGGTAGTGATGTCTAAATTGCCTGTCACAGTGTGTGTCAAGCATCTGTCCCTAAATCTTGCCTAGAAAAAGACCCAATTTGATTATTGGGAAGGAAAGTATCAGTATTCACCTTTAGTCCGGGCAGTAGGCTTTAGAAGCCGCCCCACTGGCCTGGGAACACAAAGTCATGGCTCCTGATGCAAACAGAGAGGCACATGCAAGTGTGGTTTGGGATTTGGAATTCCAGTCCTTACCCTGCCATGTTAATTTCTTTTGTGGTATTGGGCAGAATGGTTAGTCCATGTTGCAGGCAACTGAGGTTTGCAGTGAAATAGCGGTGTTAACTTTTTTAGAAAAGATTTATTATTATTGGAAGGGCGGATATACAGAGAGGAGAGACAGAAAGATCTTCTGTCCTCTAATTCACTCCCCAAATGGCTGCAACAGCTGGAGCTGAGCTGATCCAAAGCCAGGAGCCAGGAGCTTCTTCCGGGTCTCCTATGTGGGTGCAGGGAACCAAGGCTTTGGGCCATCTTCCCTGCTTTCCCAGGTCACAAGCAGGGAGCTGAATGGGAAGTAGAACAGCTGGGACATGAACCAGTACCCATATGGGATCCTGGCATACACAAGGCAAGGATTTAACCACTATGCTATCGTGATGGGCCCAATAGTGAACTTTATACACTGAACTGGGATGGGGGAGGTGGTGATCACGTAGCATACTTTGTTCTGAAGCCTGACTGCTTGGGTCATGCCCGGTGCTCTCAGAGCAACGCCTGCTGCACCCAAGGATCTTCCAGTTGGCATGGAAAGTTCTTTAGTGACTGACCTCCAGGAGGTGAGAGTGGGGCTACTAGGTTTTGAAGTCACTGTTTTTAGCTTCCTCACACTTTCTTAATAATGTTCTTTTGAATCTATCACTTCTAAGTTTAGTGTCCAGAAACTACTGTGATGGGGTGCAGCTGGTTGATTAGCTAGCACCCACTTGCCGTTTTGACAGTGCTGACAGCACAGAAATGGAGGTTCCACACCCCACCCTTCCTACTTGCCTCTCAGTTTCATGTTAATTGAATGCCCAAACTGGCTCCTGAGGCTCCTTACCTGTCCCCTCCCTCCCCTGCCTGCTAAGGTGCTACTTTAGATAAACTACTTGGAAACTTTGGGCTGCAGCAGCTCCCTTCCCGTCTGCTGCCACTTCCTTAATTGAATGCATGGAAACTGTCCTGAACAGTTCTCAAGCTGGTTGGCACATGAGAGCTTAAAAGTCCCTGACTTCACTGCCCTGTCCCCTGCTGTAGTGGCTCCTGGAGTGTAGTGGGAGTTGGTATCTCCAGGCTTGGCCAATAACGACGCTTTGTAATATCCTACACTTGTTTCCCTTGTGAGTCTTGTCCTCTGCAACACTGCACGTGTTGGTGTGTGTGTTCTCACCTAGAGAAGGACTGGAAGCTGTTTTGCTTTCCCAAAGTCCAATTTTACCCATTTTCTGCTGGCTCTTATCTTTGATTTTGAGCAATGCTTTTAGTTCATGGTGATCAGCTAAGCCATTCATCTTTTGGGCTGTAAAAGGTTAAGAACCGAAGGCAGTCTTTCAGATAATTTTTTTAAAAGATTTATTTATTTATTGAAAAGTCATATATACAGAGAGAAGGAAAGACAGAGAGGAAGGTCTTCTGTCAGATGATTCACTCCCCAAGTGAGCGCAACGGCCGGGGCTATGCCGATCCGAAGCCAGGATCCAGGAACTTCTTCCGGGTATCCCACACGGGTGCAGGGTCCCAAAGCTTTGGGCCATCCTCGACTGCTTTCCCAGGCCACAAGCAGGGAGCTGGATGGGAAGTGGAGCTGCCAGGATTAGAACCGGCGCCCATATGGGATCCCAGGCGGGTTCAAGGCGAGGACTCTAGCCACTCGGCCATGCCGCCGGGCCCCAGATAATGTTTTAATAGAATTACTGCACATGGCACGAGCCACACCTAGTTTCTCTGCGCATGGGTAGCAAAAGCCCTACTCAGGGCCATGGTGGGTGGGAAGAATAGAAAGGTTTAAGACCCATTCCCAGCCCCAGAGAACTGACAGTCTAATGGGCACAATTGGAACCATTGAGTAAATGCCTCTAAAGTCACAGTTCTGTCATTAGTGATCATTTTGCACCTTAGCTTTGCATCATGGCCTCAGGCTCATTCAGGAGGAGAGGACAAGGTCAGCATGGATAGCTCCCATGTTACGATTGTAGATGCCTAGTTATTAAGGATACCAGGAAGTTAAGGTTGCAGTTAGGGAGGAAATATGGAGAACATTATGGGTTAGTGGAACCAATTGGGAAAAGCTTCCTATAGGAAGTGGACCTGCTTTAGCATAGCCAAAGACTATATTGATTGTAAGTCTATTACCCACTGCCTGTTTTTTTGGGGGGTGGGGAGGAGCAGGATGAAGAGCGATAGAATTGCTTTGGAAACGTCTAACAGAGTCTGGGTGCACAGCTTATCCCCTAAGGTGGAAAGGTTAGTGACTTTCGGCTTGCCAGTGTGGTTTTCCCCCAGTTTGGGGGATCTCTGCATTTTGTCACTTTGCTTCCCACAGGAGGGCTGGCACCGCCTCTTATTTGAGCTCTTCTGGGTGTTTCATCTGTTTCTGTTTACAACTCCAGAAGGATCAGTTGTTGTGATGACAGCTGCAGTTGGAGCCAGGCGTCAGGCCTTCGCCGCTTGAAATTGAGGGTCGCATGTCACAACTGATGGCCTAGAGACAGCCCTTGGCTGTGCTTTCAATCCATGCACCTGTGTTCACCTGAGAGCTGGAACTTCACAGCATGAAAGCTTTACCAATAATACATTTCTCTACCTCTGTTGGGGTCTGCCAGTGAGTGAAACTGTCTCAGCTTCTCTTCTGGGTGTTTGTTGCTCCTCATTCTTCTGACCCATGAGGGGAATTATTCCTTCTTATTTTTTTTTAAAGATTTACTTTATTTTTTTTTTTATCAGAAAATCAGATATACAGAGAGGAGGAGGGACAAAGAAGAAGATCCTCTGCGGATTCACTTCCCAAGCGGCAGCAATAGCTGGTGCTGAGCTGATCTGAAGCCAGGAGCTTCTGAGTCTCCATATATGTGCAGGGTCCCAATGCTTTGGGCCATCCTCAACTGCTTTTCCAGGCCACAAGCAGGGAGTTGGATGGGAAGCAGGGTGGCTGGGATTAGAATCGGCGCCCATATGGGATCCTGGCATGTGCAAGGCTAGAACTTCAGCCGCCAGGCTACCACACCAGGCACAGGTTATCTCTTCTTTTCTTTCTCCTTATACACCCCTGGAGTTTGTGGAGGCAGTGGAGTTGGGCATATAAGAACAGACTTGAGGGTCTATGAGATAACTCAACTGGCTAAGCCTTCTTCAGGTGCCAGGATCTCATATGGGTGCTGGTTCATGTCCCAGGTGCGCAACTTCCCATCCACGTTCCTGCTTATGCCCTGGGGAAGTAGTGGAGGATGGCCCAAAGCCTTAGAACCCTGCACCCACATAGGAGACCTGGAAAAAACTCCTGATTCCTGGCTTTGGATTTAGCTCAGCTCCAGCTGTTGCAGCCATTTGGGGAGTGAATTAGAGGACAGAAGATCTTTCTCTCTGTTTCTCCTTCTCTCAGTAAATCTGGTAGTCATTTCCAATAATAATAGTAGTAATAATAAATCTTAAAAAAAAAAACAGAGTTGAAGTATGTGGTATTCCTTCTCATCTCTCTTTTCCTGTACCTTGTCCACTCAGCATGGAATGGATATCTCAAATCCCAAGGCCACAACTCTGTAGTGATACTACACTTGATCTTAGCCAAAAGGCCGAGAAGTGATTTCCCAGCTCTGTAATGAGCAATCATTTTGTAACTTGTCCTTGCCCAAAGTGCAGTGACTTTATGATTGCTTTTGCAGTTTTGTGTGATTCAGTCCTCATTGGTAAGGAGAGCATGGAGGGCAGAGGGAGAAGAATCTTCTAGCAGAACCGGACGCACAGTAAGCATGATGGGACTTCTGGGCAGCCCTGGGGGTAGTGTTTCGGCGCACTTTGCCTGCTGTGAGCTGGAGAGGCCCATGAGCCAGCTGCTCCCAGCACCCGGGTTCACCAGGCATGTCCCTGAGACTTGGCTTCCTTGCCCTTGCTGTGGGAGTGAGAACGTCGCCCCCTCACAGGTGGCTGTGAGGAATGATAAACCAGCAAAACATCTGCATGTGGCATATGGCTGAATGTCAAGAGCAACATAAATGCTTAGTTTTATCTACTGAATAGTAGTTGGGTGGTCACGTGAATGTTGCTGTGGAAACCATAACTCTGTTGTTCTCTGATATTTTCCCGTGCTGTTGTTTTTAAATGAGGCTTTACATTTAAATCCTGTGGTTTTCTTCCATGTGTTAGAAAAGTAACAAGAGGGATTGCAGCTTGACCTCCATCTCTGCCTTTGTGTAATACCAAGTGTGGTGTTGGGTTCCACACCAGCACTGTCTATACTCCATTCACTCCTCTCTGATCCCACCTTTTGCCAGGGTCATGTCTCCCACCCACCCACCCACGTCCCCATCCACTCATCTATTCTCCATCCACCCATCCATCCGCTCATCCACCTGCGCATCCACCCGTTCACTCATCTATCCATATATCCATCTATACATCCATCCGCCATCCACCTGCCCACGCATTCACCCATCCATCCACCCATCTATTTATCCATTCATCCATCCATCCATCCATCATTCCTCCCTCCATCTTTCCATCTCTCTTATCCTTTCCCCCTACTCCTTCTCTCCATGCTGCACTTCTAGCTTACAAATGGTGAATGGACCAGACATGAATGGGTCAGGACGACTGGCTTAATGGTGAAAGCCTACAATAGGGCAGATTCCCTTGGCACATGCAGGTATGATGACAGTCCCCAGAGGACTGTGAGATCAAGGGGAAAGTGACAAAGGTGGTGCTGGTGGCAAAGATGATGATGGGGTAACCATTCTGAAGATACCAGAGGCTCCTTGTGTAAGTCCCTGGCTCAGGCAGCCCAGCTGTGAGATAAGGAGTGTGAGCAACACCAGCACTGCTTAACAAAATAGGTCATGGTCAGGAGCCCTCACTGGTGGAGCTACTAAAATCCCACACCCCTGCAGTGTTTTCTGTGCCCTGAGCAGAGACCCTAACATCAAGACTTTTTAAAATTATGCACATGATCTCAGGGTTTTTTTTTTAAAGAAATATTTATTTTTATTGGGAAGATATATGTACAGAGAGAGAGAGAGAGAGAAAGATCTTCTGTCCACTGATTCATTCCCCAAATGGTGGCAATGGCTGGAACTAAGCTGATCTGAAGCAAGGAGCCAGGAGTTTCTGCAGGTCTCCTGTGGGGGGTGCAGGATCCCAAGGCATCATTAGGCCATCCTCCCTGCTTTCCCAGGCCACAAACAGGGAGCTGGATGAGAAGTGGGGCAGCTGGGACGTGAACTGGTGCCCATGTGGGAAGCTGCACTTGGAGGTGGAGGATTAGCCAGTTGACCTAATGTGCCAGCCCTAGTTTTTGTTTTTTTTCATGACTCTTCTCTTGGCAGCAGCAGCTAGAAGCTGGGAACTCCCAGTTGGGTTGGGTTCACTGTCCCAAGGCACTGATGGTCCTGGGAGATTCCAGCTGGGTGTGCTGTAGGTCCTGAAATGGGTACCCAGGCTGACTGGAACTTCCACTTCTAGTGGCCCAATCTCTTCTAAACCATGGTCCTCCTCCCAATTTCCCTGTTAATGGGAAGTTGAGCTCTGCCACTCCTGCCCAGCTCCTTGCCCAGCAGTTGTCCCTCCTCACACGTGTTTGATCTGCCAGGCTGTCTGCTGAGTGCTGCAAGTTGTGGCATGGAAGCCTCATTTCCACCCCCTTTTATCTTTCCAGCCGCTTTCCTGAATTGGCTTTATTGAGATACAATTCACCTATGATAAAATTCTCCCTTTCTGAGTTCATCAAAGTTCAGTATCTTTCTGTAAACTGGGTGATGCAGCCATTGCCATTACTCCGTGTTAGAATATTCCGCTCTGCTGGGCTCAGTGTGACGACTAGGTGGCTAAATCCTTGCCTTGCATGCATCGGAATCCCCTTTGGGTGCTGGTTCTTGCCCTGGCTGCTCCACTTCCCATCCAGCTCCCTGCTTGTGGCCTGGTAAAGCAGTAGAGGATGGCCCAAAGCCTTGGGACCCTGCACCTGCATGGGAGACAAAGAAGATCCTGGCTCCTGACTTTAGGTCAGCTTAGCTCCAGCTATTGTGGCCATGTGGGGAGTGACCAGTGCTTGGAAGATCTTTCTGTCTCTCCTTCCTTCTCTCTGTAAATCTACTTGCCTGCACATCCTACTACTTCAACTTTTCTTATAAATTATTAAGTTAAAGTGACCATGAGGCTTTTGTCTAGCCATCAGTCATTTAAAACCCAGGGCATTCTAAATTGTCCTGTGATCCAAACTCCTAAACTCCAGTTTCAAAATACATGACTGGCCTCATCTTTCCAGACTCCTGTGGGCACAGTGATCCCCAGGTCCTATCCTGGGCTCCATCTCCTGTTCAATGTGTTTCCCAGCCTTTCCTCAATCTCCTATCCATCCTATGGGGCCCAGCCCACAGCCACGCCCCCTACCACCCTTCTTGGACCCCCTCCACTGGTGATGCCTCCTGTTGCCTGGCCTCCTGCTGATTGGTTTACTTGATCTGTAAGCTTGGTGGTGCTTTAGAAATTATACACGAAAGCACTTCTGAGCAGTCCTCAGAGAGTGGACTTCTGGTCTGGCTCTGAGTTCGTGGGAGCAGCCATCAATAGTTTTGTTTTATTCACAGCCTTCTTAGGTTGCACTTGCCACTCATATGTGTTGCTCCTCCAGTCCTGAGCTGTGTGTGGGTCCCATGTGGGGATTAGGAAAGAGTCTGCATGGCTCCTGGCACTTTCCCTGACTGACTCTGTGTCTTTGAGTAAATTACTTTATCTCTAAACAACTCAGGGGTCTCCTAACACAATGTTAAGGAAGTTATAAACAGAGCACCATGAACTATTTTTTTTCTTTTGTAGATCTTTCCAGCTTACTTTAATTTCCATTATTTTCTACCCAGCTCCTTGTCCCGCTTTGCATTTTGATAAGCTGACTTTGGCTGAGTATGCTGGTGTGTGTGTGTGTGTGTGTGTGTGCACACCTGTGCATGCATGGGTATGAACGAGTCTGGATGTTCATAACCATGGATGCCATGAGGCATGTTCAGCCATTTACTCTCCAGTGGCTTATGACCTTGTTCCAAAAGATAACACTTTCCTTAGTTTTAAAATATTTTGGTAGTTAAAAATTATTTATTTGAAAATCAGAGTTACAAAGGAGAGATCTTCCTTCCACTATCACACTATATGCACATATTTGATTTTTTTTAACTTAAAGCCAATAGCTTTTCATTCCACTATGGTTTCATAAAAAGATTTCTTCCCTTCCCCCCAACCTTTTAAAAAAATTATTTACTTCTATTGGAAAGTCAGATTTACAGACAGAAGACGAGATAGAAAGAGCTTCCAACTACTGGTTTGCTCCTCAAGTAGCTGCAATGGCTGGAGCTAAGCTGAGCCAAAGCCAGGAGTCATGAGCTTCTTCTGAGTCTCCCACATGGGTGCAGGGTCACAAGGCTTTGGGCCATCCTCGACTGCTTTCCCAGACCACAAGCAGGGAGCTGGAAGGGAAGAAGAGCAGCCGGGATACGAACCAGTGCCGATGAGGAATCCTGGCGCATGCAAGGTGAGGACTTTAGCCACTAGGTTACTGCACTGCTTCTCAACTTTCCTTTTTAAAACTTTATTTGAGAGACATGGAGAGAGAGAGCTCCCATACGCTGGCTCTCTCCCCGCATATCCACAATGGCCAAGGGTCAGAGGCAAGAGTGGGAAAGCTGACATAGGCTCCTACCTGGGTAGCAGGGGCTCAGTCACTTGAGCTATTGCCCACTGCCTCTCAGGGTCTGCATTGATAGGAAGCTGGAGTAAACCCAGGCAAACTGACATGGGAATGCAGGTATCTTTTCGAAATTTTTAATTTAATTTAATTGTAATATTGTTTACATCCTTGAAAGGGATGCATGCCCATGTGGGTCTCCTATCATGGTGGGGAGGGTCCAGGTATGGAGGAAAGTGAGTGTGACAAATATTTCAATTTTTTTCGTTCTATGTACACAGTGGTAGAAGGGTAGGGGGCTGCTTCTTGCTGTCAAGCTACATCAGCACCCAGGGATAGGGGAGGGTCCTTTTGATGATGCCTTAGGGACCATGCTGTGGGGAAGAATGTTCTGAGAGTGTTACATGAGTGGTTTTGATAGATCTAAGACATCATTTGCTTTGTTCACCAGGGTTGAGAAAATTTTCCCAAGGTCTGTTGACTAACCAGGTGAACCTTAATGCATCCACATACCCAGGAACATGTTGCAAAGCTTGGCCAGGAGAACGGTCCAACGTATTCTGCTTTCCATCCTCTGATGTGGCACTTGAAGTCCTCTGCTGGCCTCCATAAGCTGGCTGTCATGTCTCTTGTGTGTTTCTGAGCTTGCTGTCAACTGCACAGGCATTAGCAACTGAGAGGCCCAGTCCCGATACATGCACTTCAAGGTCAGACTGCATATATTGTGATTTTCCCTGAGGCTAGAGTTGGAGTCCAGTGGTCTAGTTGGGGGTCCCCCAAGAAATTTCACCTGCGATGACTTCAGATTTGACTGTGTTTGCACTAGCCAGTGCAGGGTCAGGTTCAATCCATCACCTGCCCCAGTTAATACACATACTAGTAGATGCAGCTGCATGGTTAGTTCTTCCCCCAGTACCA